AAAAAAAAAAAAGATTGTTAGAATTTAATCCCAGAAGGAAGAGCAAATAAATTTGGTTTCTGGCCTGGAGTCACCAATACTGAGCTGAGTATCGAGGTGCTATCTTGAAAACAAAGGAACTAAATAAGACTTTGCATACTCTGAGCAGTGGAGTCTTTTTCCTGGAATTTGAGTTCTAAAAAAAAGAACCTAAAACCCTAAAGATATGTATGTCCGAGGTTCTGAGAACATGGTGAAACTCAACAAAGATCATACCTGTGCACTACACTTCCATTCAGCTCTTTGTGGACCATTCTTAAACATGAACAGATAGCCAAGGATCCCCAGCCATTTGAAGAGGATGTCTAATACAAAAAATTTGAGACAAATATAAGAATATGGGATGAAGTACGGTGGAGCATATCTTAAAAGGAGTTTGAAAAGAATGGGGGAGTCTGTTTCACCCATTCCCCCACCAAAGGGATTAAGAATGCACTTAATCTTGATGAGCACTGAGTAATGTATAGAATTATGGAATTGTTATATTGTACCCCTGAAATTAATATAACATAAAATGTTTTAAAATGTAGAATGAAAAAGCAAAAAAAGGAGTAGTCTGGGAAGAAATAAAATTTTTAAAAGCTATTAATATCTTTAGAGAAATAAGAATATATTGCATCCATGAAACAAGGATCAAGGGTATAAAAAGGAACAGAAGACAGGAAAGAGCTTTTGGATATTAAAAATACGACAGCAGAAATAAAATCAAGTCAATGGAAGTCGGTACAACATATGAGTATTATAGTTGAAAGCACCAATGAATTGGCAAATACAGTGGCTGGAAATAGATACCAGGGCACTTCATGAGGCTTCTGAACACTAGGTACAGAAAGAGGATACTAAAATTTTGCATAGTTAATAATTTTTCATGAAATAATTTCAAGCATCAGAATGCTGCTAAAATCACAAAGGAAACTATAAAAAAATTGGAGCAAAGCATTTCCATCATAGAATTCTCTACCCAACCAAACTGTGGACTACAAGTCAGGGAACAAACACTTTGAGATATGTAGGGGCATGCCCCGTTCTCAGGCACCCCTGGAAGATATGGCCCACTGAAAGGAAGAAATATCAAAGAAATACTGTCTGTCATTTTGTGATTCTGGTCTTTAAAAAGAGGACTATAAATATACATTCACACAAAAACCTGTAAACAAATGTTTATGGTAACCTTATTTATAATCACATAGAACAGGAAACTATCCAAATTTCCTTCAACAGGTGAATGGATAAAGTGGGATACATCCATAAAATGGAATATTCATCTGCAATAAGAAGAAACAACCACATGGATGGATCTCAGATGCATTAAGCTGTGTGACAGCACCCAGACTAAAAGAATATATACTGTAGGATTCCATTTATATGACATTCTGGAAAACCAAAACTATAGGGACAGAAAACAGCAGTGGTTGCAAGGGACGAAGAAGAGGGAGGGAGGGGACTCACTATAAAGGAGCACTTTTGGAGTGATGAGGTTATTCCTTGTACCAATTTTCATGGCGGTTTGTGGTAACAGTTACGTGATTGTATACACTTCTGAAAAATCTTTGAGTGTAAAAAGGATAAAATTTATTGTAAGCAAATTATACCCCAATAAACCTGAGTTAATAACAGCCTCCACAAATGTCACCCCAGCAATGAGGTCTTCCCTGGCCACCTATTTTTCATGGCCCTGTTCCCTACCCATCCTGCCCAAGGTTCTCCTCCTTTCCCTCCCTCCCCTGTTTTATGAAACCCTTCCCAGGATCTCCAGAAACTGTTTTACCATCTCTAGGTTGTTGCCCTTTTAGTTCGAGGAATCAAAGTCATTTGACCTTTCTTCATTGATTCAGCTTTTCTATCCTTTCAAATCGTCAGCCATTGCACACTTTTCATCTTCATTATTTTACTCTGAATACATAAATTGTCAAGCATCGGTAATTTCCATTAAAGAGAAAAGATTGTACTGATGAAATCAAGATTGTGTTTACAGACGTGTTTTTCTCCATAGATAGCAGTGAGTGCCTTGCCGATGACTGTAGTATAATTGCTGGAGGGAACCTCACTGGTTGGCATCCAGACTCTGCTGCTGTGTTATGGCGAAGAATCTTGGGAATCCTCGGGGATGTGAATAATATCCAGTCACCCAAGATTCATGCCAAAGTGTTTGGCTATCTCTATGAACTCTGGTACAAACTAGCAAAGGTATGTCCTGCTACATTACCTTTTATTCTAAAAGGGGTAAATTGATTTATCATGTAACATAAAAACTGTGTTGCAATTAATGTATTCAGGAACACAGATTAGGTGTGTAGACAAAGTATGTTTGATTGTCAAAGAATAAATAATAACTTACAATATGGTCATTTTATAAATGCAGAAGAGTTATTTAATACATATGGAGAATATTACTATAGGACATTAAAGGAATAGGGTACTATTCACTATACACTTTTATAAAAGTGATGCTGGTTTTATTGTACAAAATTTGAAAAATATAGAAAAATATAAGAAGAAAATTAACATCATCATCCCACAGAGATAACCAGTATATAGTTTTATTTCTGTGGGTAAGTACATTTTTACAAAGGTAGAATCTTAGAATACATACAGTTTCCATTCAGGTTTTTGTTTATAATGTATGATTTCCCTAGGTTATTAAGTTTTTTGTTTTTTATTTTTGTTTTTCAAAAACGATTTATATTTATACAGTATAACTTGTTAAGCCATTCCTTACCATGTAGAATTCAGGACCTCCCCAGGCATTAACACTCAAGGGAAAACAATGCCCTAGTTTTGTATTAAATCTAAAACCATGTCCAGTAAGTGGGACACACAATTCAAAATGACAGTAGATCTCACAGTAAAAGAAAAAATTGTAAATGTTGTAGGTTTTCACTCAACGTACAGAAATTTAACGAGAAGCAGCTATTTGGCTATGGAACACAATATTGAAATATTGTTGGGATAAGCCAAGCATGGCCTTTCCTAAAATTCTCCTCTCTCTGACTTAGATACGGGATAATCTGGCAATAAGCCTGGATAACCAATCTTCTCCGTCTCCACCAGTCCTGATCCCACCACTCAGAATGTTTGCATCATGGCTATTTAAGGCAAGTGGATATGTGTTTATTCCTTTATTGCAATTTCCTCTTCCTTTCTGAAATTGAGTTTAAAAAATGTAATTGCCCAAGACTGCACGTTTTGAAGACAAGCTGAATCTTACTAAAGCCACTGTATCCCTCATCTCCATAAACAACTCTTATGGAATACTGAGAAGTAAATGAAATGTCGAAATGCTCTGCATCTGGAGTTGATTAAATCTTTAAACCTCATCTCCTTGGCAGGCGACAACATTGCCAAATGAATATAAGGAAGGCAAACTACAAGCCTACAGACTGATCTGTGCCATGATGACCAGACGCCAGGACGTTCTGCCAAACTCAGACTTCCTGGTGCATTTTTACCTTGTGATGCACCTGGGATTAACCAGCGAGGATCAGGTATTCTGTGACTCTGTTATGACGGTAGCCCACAAGGTGGAAACACAAGCCCACAAGGTGGAAAGTACATATGACTTTTTGTAGGTTAAATTAGGGTTCATGAAAATACATCAAACACATTAAAATTCTCAGTAGTTTCAACTCTTCTACACACAGCAACCACATTGGTCTTTCAAAAATGTAAATCAGATTTCATCACATCCCTGTTTCTTTTCTCCGCTGACCTTGCATTGCACCAACCAAATTTGAACTTTATTCTGTGGCTTACATAGTGCTAGATGAGCTGGCCTCAGCCTATGTTGTCAAATTCAAAAATGCTCTTTCAACCACTTTTGGTGGGGTTCTGCAGTAGATATTATTTGAAGAAAATTATTCTGGTCATTTAAAAATGTTTGAAAACTATTGTTTTAGTAGGATGTTTTTGTACAAGACCTCACTCATAAATTAGGTGTCCTGACATTTCTAGATGAGGAGTTATCTTAATTTCTTCCAAAGGGTGGTTAAAAAGGAAACAGAAAGGTCAAAGGAGCCACTAGAAACAGCCCATTCTTATAGATCCTGGGTGTGCAGGGTAGGATGTGGCCAGTCCCTGGCCTATCTCCCTTGGGAAGAGCCCTGCCAGTGGGAACAGGAACTCTGAGTCCTCATTTGTTGTATGAATGTCAAACAGGCAAGTGATAGGATTGGTTTGTACTTGACAGAGATTATTCTGGACTCAGTTTGGAAGACAGATTTGAAAATGTGACAGTGGTAGGATAGAGTGGGAGGTTGGGCCTGAAGACAGATTAATTAGGAAGTGGTTAAATGAATATAGAACTTAAAAATGATGAGAATTAAGATGATAGCACTGGGAATGGGAAGAAGGAATAGGAAAGATTCAAGAACTTTTAAAGCATTCCATGTTATTACTAGGTCTTCTTGACCAATTAGAGGTATGGAGAATGTTTCAGAATTTACCCTTGAAATTGTAGCTACTTATCAGTGACCTTGAATCATTCACGAACTACCAAGTAGTCATCCTTTCTGCATTTTTTTAATTCTTCGAATGTATAATAGAGACACACAGACCTTTTTGATACCCGTAGGATACATGTAAGAGATCATTCTCCAGATTAGCCAGTTTTTCTCTGTTGCTTTAGAACATGCTTCTTGAAGCTTCTCGACCCTTCAGCTCTATTTAAAACTCTTGCAATACATCCCCTGATAACACAATGAGTTTTCATCATGGAGCTTTTATCTGAAGTAATAACCATACTGTCCTACTGAGCTGTCTTTGTCATACTTGCTCCAATTCCAGCAGTGCGTAGAGGACATCTCTATATAACAGGCTGGACTTGGACCCACAGTCTCATTTATTTCCTAAATAAACGCAGAAATAGAGATGTGAAAGCAGAAATGTTTGTACTCTGTGCTCAGATATTTGTAGCCATCATTGCAGGTGGAAGCATCTTTCACAGAATCATGCAACTTAGGGTGTGTGGAAGATTGAGGGATATAAATAAGGAAGAGAATGAACTCTCACAGATCATAACGAAATCCCTCAGTGACAGAAAAGACAAAGATTTAGTTAACAACGCAGTACTTTAAGGAGGTATTTTGCTAAGATTTTGCAGGGAAAAAAAATTTACTTGGAAATAATAATCAACTGTAGAATTTTCTCATTTAATGAAAACAAGTTAGAAGTCAGCAGCAAACACTTAGTATTCCTAGAATGAGTTTTCTAGAAAGTCACATAAATGGATGTGAATTTAGAATCATCTTCTATTTTAAAGGCTGTTGGAGTGGAAATGAAACAACATGAGGTGAAATAAGAGTCTGAGAACCCAAAACATAATAACTTAAAGTCATTTTCATTTTAAAATTATTTTAATATATGCCATGTTTTTGGTTAAGCTTGAACTTTTGTAGTTCATTGTAAAATACGTAAATCTTAAGTGTTGGCCCATTGCTAGCAGTGATCCCAATATCCAGCATCCTAAGACAAAACAGGAATGCCATAAATCTGTTTTATAATCAGCTTATTGTCTAGCCATTAGACACTTGAATTTTTAAGTATGCTTAATAGAATTGGCTGTTTTGCTGTAACTTTAACAATTATTGATATATGTTTTAGAAGCCCTGACTGTCTGCCAGACAGAATTACTCTAAATAAACCTTATTCTTTCCAGAAGAAAATTACACAGAAAACCTTCTAATGAAAGAAACTTTTCTCATTTAAGTAAGAAATGTCTCTGATAATTAGTTTAACTTTTGGTCCACATGCCTAAATGGATCATGGTGGTTGTTCCAGAACTTATGTGTTCTTCTGAAAACAGATATTATATTAATTATAAAAAGACAAGAAGCACTCACTGTAGAGAATACAGTTAAATTCAGTTTTTTAATTGGTGAACTGTGCACCTGTGACTAGTACATTCTCAAGGTTTGTTTCCTCCTTGTGAAAGCTCTCAAAGAGTCACTAGCCTGCTACTGAAAGCCTTTGTTCTTGCAGAGAGAACCTTATAAAAAATTTTCCTTATTTCTTAGTAAGATGAGTAATAGCAAATAATTTAAGATGGTCTAACATTTATTAGTTTTGTCTTACAAATAAAATCCAAGGTGAATTTCCTTCTTTCACCTCTAGGTGGCACACTTGTCTGCACAACTCTCGCTGTACGGCTCACTGGCCACTGCTGGCCTTTAAAATTGCTGCAAGGCCCAGGGCCCTGTGAGCGTGATGGTGTGGCACAGTCATTTTACAAATGCTTCCCTAAATATGAGGGTATCAAAACTATGTCAGTAGTGACTAATAAAGTGTTAAATTGGAAATAAGCTCTAAGATGTTAAAAATCTTTTTTCTAGGTGTAAGGGTGCTTATAGTAATTGAAGATATTTTTTTTAAACCTATTTGTAAAATAGATGTCTCACAGACCGTGTTCTATGATACAATCAGATGAAACCATGGTTTCATTTAATATGGTAGCCAATTCATTATGTAAACAATTGTAGTCCTTTCTGTATTTAAAAAAATAATAATGGTACATAGACTGAACAGCCAAAATGTAGTGCATTCCAAGCCAACTGTTTTTGTTTGGACCAGGTTTAGCTATTCTAATAACTTAATAATTTAATAGCTAAAACAATTACCTTATCAACTAGTATTTTCCCAAGTACTTGTGGAGTTTGAGTTTATGGTTTATGATTGAGAAAATGTTTTGAAATAGCTGTAAACTTTTCCTCCACTCTGAATTTCTTTTAAAAATTGATCCTGTTACTGGTTTCAAAAATATGTAGGATCATAAGGACTTTCAAAATAACTCTACATTATGAATAAAATTTGGGGTGACTTGTGGGACTGACTACCCAGCCTACCTATGAAGGGTCTTCCAGTTGGTTTCCCTCTGCCCAGCTGCTTTGTGTCTGGTGGGTCTTCAGTTCCCCAGCACCCACAGTGCCAGATTCTATACTGGGACCTGCATGACGTTATCCCACCGATTCTTCTCTGCAATTCAGTTAGATTAATATCATGACCCATTGTTTAAATAACAAAGGTTCAAAAAATATCAAGAACTTTTGCCCAGTGCCACACATTAAAAAAGGTTGTTAGAATTCAGAAGCAAGGCTTGGCTTATTCCAACAGGGCATGTCTTCCCCCTTGATCCACAGCTAACAGGCTGGTCAAGCAGTCAGTCAGTCCTTGGTCCTGTTTCTCCTTCCGTCTTGTTTGACCTGGGCTCAGGCCTTGGCTCCCCTCCTCAGACCCCTCCTGACTGGAGCACCCTCCCACCTCCAGCCCCAGATAGCTTTCCACAGCTGCCTTCCCAGCTCCTCACCATGTTTCAACTGCCCTTCTAAAGCTGTTCTTGGTTGTTCTTAGTTTTTCCTAATGCTTAAGCAGCTTTTTCACCTCAGTCTTCCCCAAAATATTTGGACTTGAAAAGCACCATGATTTGGGTTTATTAAAAACAGTTCCTATTAATTTCATCGTTATTTAAAACATATGGAAAGATCAATATGTGTGAAATGGAAAAGGACAGTTGAGGAAAGGAATTTTATTTTCATGTTTCTAGGAACATATATCAAAGACTGGAACATTTTCTTTGCTTAAAATAAGTAAACTATTTTTTAACAATGACTTACAGATTTAACGTCTTAATGCAGTTGGTTACACATCAAAGTTAAAGTCTCTTTTAAGGGCAAAGCTTACATTAATGTAAAATTGTTGCAAATTTGCATCTAGAAACTTTGGGAAATGTAGGTCTTTGTCATTTTCATCTGTAATTTTTTAACACACCAAAAAAGCATGAGGCCTCTCTCAGGTGGAGAAATATGTGTTATTGAGCCTGGAGGTAACCGTCAAGTGACAAATTTGAATCATAACAGTATAAAGTCATGACTAAGTGTAATATGGTGTGATATAGTGTAATAGTTAAAGAGCATGGGCTTCAAGACAGCCTGTCTGGGCTCTAGTCTTGGCTGTTCCTCTTATTAGCCAAGTCATTTGACCTCACTATGCCTTGCTCCCCTTATACGTAAAATGCAGGAAGTTGTTGCTTACCTCCAAGGGTTGTTTGAAGACTTTGAGGAGGTAAAATATGTAACGCACTCAACTCAGAGCCTGGACACAACAGCCTTCAGTTGGGTGAGCCCTTGTAATAATACTGAAAAGTATGAGGAAAAGAACAAGAGTTCTAGTAACTGAGTGTATTTTTTTTTTCTAATATGTTAGGATGTTAATGTTTTTCTTTCCCCATATATTTTCTTACTTTTGAACATAAGGTTTGACTAAAAGATAGAATTAGGCATTGTGTGGAATTTCAGAACATGTGGAGAAATACCCACTCCCCATGCTATAGGTCAGACTTAACTAAAATGTTTATTTAACTCTCTTGTGATTCAGAAACATTTTTTGTGTGTCTCTTGCCACTGGCTCACTTTCTACCCGTTCCTCACCCTGCCCGCTGTGCCTTCTCTATGATGGAAGCTAAAAAGCTGAACTATATGTGTCCCAGCTCCTTGCA